ACGCTGTTGGTGTGGTTTGACCACTCCTGCTTAGCAGGGTGGGGTTTGTGGCAGCATTCTTACCCAAAGCCTCCGCAAAAGTTACCCCAGAGTGGATGAGGGATAAACGTTGGGAGCGTGCCTCTACCTTAGGCTGAGCATCAGCTCTGTTTTTAGCTTTTCCATCAATAATCGCCAATCGCCGCGGGCACTGGCGGGAGGAAGCAGTGTGACCGACTACTTTGCAGTTCACGCAGCTAACGGGGTGTAAAGGAGTTTTAATAGTATTCCCAGTAACGGGATCAACGTCATATACAAAAACTTCGTTATCCTTAGATGGAATGGGACATTTATATGAGGGATGACTATCAAGACATGGTGCAATTGCTGGAGACATGACCCGGACGTTGGCAATTGAAACAAAGAATAAAGTCACGACCTTTATCTTTCTTTATTTTAATATTGCAATCTAAAATTTTATATAGCGTGTACAGGCTCTTTATATCCGATTGCTTTGATACTCTGAGCAGCCATTTGTTAGGGGACACACTATTTAAACCAATGACTTCTATAGGGAATGGAACCTTTGTGTGGAGGAAGTCCCTAACCTCCTCAATGGTAAATTCGTTAGTGAGATTTTCAATTACCAACATATAGGGCAACAAAGCTTTCGGCGTGTGAGTGTGGAATTTATAACCACGCTCAACAAGTAAAGACCTAATTTCCTCATAAATTTTAAGGCCTTTGACCTTGAGTGAGAGAACAGATGGGCGTATATAAACTATAGAAAACTCACCTGATCGATATTTTTAGTTGAGGATTCCCGAAATTTCCTTGACACCTACATCGTAAAGAGTAAAAGCTGGCATTGATTTGCCAGCTGGCTGCTTCATATCCAGAGTAGGCAAGTTAGCACCCACATCGGTTTTAGTGGGTCCATTCCTAGCGACAGGCTGCTTCTTCGTCTTCATTTGAGGGAATGTTTCATTTGACAGGGTTTTTGGTTTAGGGATTTCACCTAAGGAAGCTCCATTATCAACTGTCTGGGGTGCAACATCTATCGCCATACCGAGGTCTTCGGCTACCTCGGCAGCCCAATCTTCCTTCTGCTGAAGACTGGCATCTTCTACGGCTGGCAATTTTTCAGCTATGTCCATCCCTAGCATTTTACTAGTGGGGTTAGTGTGTTTAGGTCGTATAACACCCATTTGAACATCGAGCTTATGTTGTAAGTCAGCAATTGTTCTATGAAAAGCCATTTCACGACCGTGAGCTAAGGCTAATTTTCTCGCAGTGTCCTCCTGAGTTTTGATGACAGCGTCAAGTTTTGTCATCAAAGAACGATTATCCTCATGTGCTCTTGATAAATCTTTTTGGAGCTGTTGAATCAAGGCATTCATTTTCTCAGGTTCAAAGGTTGGATCGCTGCTGCGCTTCTTCTTTCGTTTTCTATGTCTGTTCGAAATAACGACTTGATAACTGCCACTCGTTGTACCAATATCAGAACCATCAGTCATTTCGGTGCTATTGTGAATGATCTTAGCAGACACACAATCCATCGGCGTATTTGTGTCATTAGCAGAGGGACACACTTTTTTTGTAGTACCGACCTTAGGCATAGCTTCACAAAAAGTTCTCACAGCATCGACCTTTGTTATAGGCTCACAAAAGGTTTTCACAGCATCGACCTTTGTTATAAGCTCACAAAAGATTTTCACAGCATCTACCTTTTGTATATCACAATCTTTTTTAGGCATTGCCACATCAATAACAGAGGTGGAGTTGCCAGGTATCGTCAGGGCTCCCTCGGCCGGCATAGTGATATGTGGTTACCACTAGATGGCGGGCCGACGGGCAAACAAACTTCGTATTCGTCGACAGAGGTATAGGAGTAGCTATTGAGAGCCGAACACACAGGAGAACGACGGGCACTGTGGTGGTTGTTTTTCAAGTTCAAACACACAGACACACAATCACAAAGGCACAATTTAATTTTCTCCGCTTAACAACCGCACTGTTCAAGAACACAACACAGAATGAACGTGATGTTGTTTCCGGACGATTCCGCTCGTATTTATACAAACTTTGTGGCTCTCTCCAACTTTTGAACACACAAGTAAAGTATGTACAGTTATATGTGTGTGTGTGTACATTTGCCGTTAGTATTGTATGTTCTCTTTTGTGAATTCACTAACATATCAACCCCGAAAGTTGATGCTAACAGCACAATTTTCTATAAATACTCGTTTTAGTGGCGGTGGCAACGTTATTACAGTGTTAACAGTGTTTGTGTGCTTATCTCTAGTGAAGTGAAAAAAATCAAGTGAAAAATGGCTCGTACTAAGCAAACTGCCCGTAAATCGACCGGTGGAAAGGCTCCCCGTAAACAACTAGCTACCAAAGCTGCCCGTAAGAGTGCCCCAGCCACCCCAGCGGTGTTAAGAAGCCTCATCGATTCCGTACTGGTACAGTTGCTTTGCGTGGAATCTTTCGTTTCCAGAAGAGTACTGAATTGTTGATCCGCAAATTGCCCTTTCAACGTTTGGTTCGTGAAATCGCTCAAGATTTCAAAACTGACTTGCGTTTCCAGAGCTCTGCTGTTATGGGATTGCAAGAAGCCAGTGAAGCCTACTTGGTTGGTCTTTTCGAAAATACTAACTTGTGCGCCATCCATGCCAAGCGTGTCACCATCATGCCTAAGGATATCCAATTGGCCAGACGTATTCGTGGAGAACGTGCTTAAATTCTTGACGTTTTAAAAGCAACAATTTTACAACAAAACTATCGGTCCTTTTCAGGACCACAAATATTTTACAAAAAAGATATATTTATTTACTCAATCTACAATTTTTAGTATTTTTTTGAAATAAATAAAAAGAATTTGGGCTTTGATTATTTTTCAACAATTATTAACATTTTTTTAAAATAAAGATATATCTTTTGATGTTGTTTTTTTTTCGTTGATGATTTTTCGACAGAATTTTTGTTTTTGATTTTGACTTTATTTTAAATTTTTTTTAATTTTATTTTAATTTTTTCAACTATCCATATTGATAATTTCCTTTAATTTGCAAAATTATTATCATTTTTGTACTCCCTCTTGGAAAAAAAATGCTATGACTCATGAAAACAACCCCCACATACATTTTGCTAACGGGATTTCTTTGTCCATTTTGTTTTTTTCCTTTTCCCGTTAAACAAAAAATTTCTCTCTTCTTGATTTTTGGCGCGAAATTTGTCTATTTCTCTCATTTTATGCCCCTTCGATCATTTTTTTCTGTTGTGGACTATTCAATTTAGCCGAAAAAATTTCTCTGCCATTAATTTCTACGAATTATTCATGTGAATTTTAAAAATTTCCTGCTAAAATGTTGCCCCATCTTTTTAATTTGTTTCAGGAATGATGTATGAAATATACTTTATTCTTTTTCAGCAAAATTTTTAAATGTTTTAAACGCCTTTTAAGAGATTTGAATATGATATTTCTCCGTATGGAATTAAATAATTAGTTTTGCCCGATGTATTTGAAGAAATTGCTAATAATTTATTATTTTTAAAAATTGAAGAAGAAAATAACTGGTTTGTTGAGAATTTTGATGTAAAATATAATTACAAGTATTATAAAAAGAAGTGCCAATAATATCTGCATTTTTATAAAACGCAATTAATTTCATGACATTTCCAAGTGTTCTAGGTGATATTTGCCTGTAAAGAGGAATTTCTTTTTGGGAATATTTTTTAAAGAAATTAAAAAAATATTGACAAAATAACGTAGAAAATTGCTTTTAACAATGCTTTTAAAAAAATTAAGAACAAAATATGTTAAATTTCATAAAAAAATATTGCAAAATTAAATACATAACCGTTTGTCACTGAAAGCCTGTACATTGGTAGTATGAAGTATTCTGGGGATTTTGTAACTTTTCCCCGTAAATTATGACTTTTTGTGAATAATGTTATATTTTGATGTAAATATACAAATTCCGAAATGTTTTTTAAGAAATTTTTATAAAACTTATTAAGATTTGAGCTTTCAAATTTATTTCAAGAAAAACTTTTTTTCATTGAAATTATGCCAACAAGAGGATTTCTGCTGCCATAGACCACATAATAATTTCAATTTTTTCACATAGTAAAATATCAAATTCCATCGATATTTTTCTTTGATCCTAAAGTAAACATATCAGGCAATATTTTCAAAAAGAAGTTTAAATTAATTTTTCATAAAAAAAATTGATTTTTTTAAATTTTAGTTGGAAATTTGTGATCACATTTTTATAATCACATTTTTATAATTCACAAACGGCAAGTGATAATTACACCAAACATTCTTTAAAACATAGCCTGAAATCTATACTTTAAAGGTATAAAACATTTTTAGTGAAAATTATCAAAGCTTCTTCAGGAAAATTTAATTTCTCCGAAAACTTTTGTAAAAAATTAAACACGCCTCCACACAATCTTTCCAAAAATTTACCAATTGACTACTACACTTTAGCCCGCCGCTAACAAAAATAATAGTACACATAAATTTGTGAGTGTATTTGTGTTAACAGTGAAATATAAACCAAACAGTGAATGACCATGTCTGACGCCGCCGTTGTTGAAGCCACCGCCTCCCCAGTTGCCGCTGTTGGGAAAAAAGGCACCAAAAAAAGCCGCTGCCAGAGCAAAGAAGTCATAAGCCTTCCTCCAACCCAGCAAATGGTTGATGCCGCCATCAAGACCCTGAAGGAACGTGGAGGTTCATCATTGCCCGCCATCAAGAAATACTTGGCCAGCACCTACAAAGTAGATGCCCAAAAATTGGCCCCCTTCATCAAGAAGTACATGAAAGGTGCCGTTGTCAGTGGAAAATTGATCCAAAGTAAAGGTAAGGGTGCTTCTGGTTCATTCAAATTGTCTGCTTCGGCCTCCAAGGAACTCAAAGCCAAGACTGCTGAAAGAAGAAGAAGGCCCCAGCCTCTGGTGACAAAAAGAAGAAGTCTGCCGCCCCATAAAAGGCCGCTGGTGAGAAAAAGGCAGCTGCCAAAAAACCCTCTGCCGCCAAGAAGACCGCTGAAAAGAAGAAGGCCGACAAAACAAAGGTAAAGGCTGCCGAGAAAACCGGTACAGTTAAAGCTAAACCAGCAAAGACCGCCGCCAAAGCATCTGCCACTAAACCAAAGGCACCCAAGGCAAAAACTGCAGCTGCTAAGCCCAAAAAGGCCGCAGTAGCAAAGAAGCCAGCTGCTAAGAAAGCCGCCGCCAAGAAGTAATTTTTCCCAGAAAGATTACTTTTTCCACAATATTTTCGATATTCGAAAACATACTATCTAAAAGCCCTTTTCAGGGCTACAAATTAAATTAAAAAAGAGAAAAATATTTATGTTCAACATCTATCGTATATATTAATTACCTAAATACATAAAAAAATACTATCGCTAATTACTGTTCTTATTAGGCAATTTTATTGAGCCAATGTCATCGTGGACGCCACTGAATTAGTTTTTAACCCAGGTCATAAAAGATAATAAAATATTTAAAATTTTTCCTAAAAACCCACAGGTCATAATTCTCGAAAATCACCATAATTTGGTCATTTTTATAATTTCTACTTAATTTTGAAAAAATTGCCAGTTTCATATTCTCTGTCAAATTTCAGAAAATTCATCCAAAAATGACATTTTGGCAAAATATTTACATTTTCCATCAATACATTTTTTCCTTTGAAAATTTCTGCCTCAGCATTATATTTCGTTGCTTTGCCGTTGTGCAGAAACAAAATGCTCACACATACATGATGCCCATTCGATGTTGATCAACGACGGCAAGGCAAATCACCACTAACACACGCACACATATACGATGACGATGGCTGTTATAGCATATCGCACAAGCAAGCATAGAACCCAAGCAAGCAAATGCTAAACAGAGGTACATATGCGAGTTAGCATGAAAAAATCACTGTATAGAGAAAAATATATTTGTTATGGAATTTTATTTGTTTATTACTAAATATTAGCAAATAAGGGGTTTCAACAAAAATATGATCTCTTTTGAAATGTTTTTTGTGGTCCTGAAAAGGTCCTTTTAAGGTAGTATTTCGACGCAAAATGAAAAATATCAAGACATTTACTTGGAGCTGGTGTATTTAGTAACAGCCTTGTTACCTTCACTGACGGCGTGCTTAGCGGTGTGGATTTCCCGACTGGTGATGATTGAGCGCTTGTTGTAGTGGGCCAAACGAGAGGCTTCGACGGCAATACGTTCGAAGATATCGTTGACGAAACTGTTCATGATGCTCATGGCCTTGGAGGAGATACCGGTGTCGGGATGGACTTGCTTCAATACTTTGTAAATGTAGATAGCGTAACTCTCCTTACGCTTAATACGTCTCTTCGACTTATCGCCCTTGGTAATGTTCGTTTGGGCTTTGCCGGCCTTTTTTGCTGCTTTACTGGTTTTAGGAGTCATTTTCACTTATTATTATTATTATTATTATTATTATTATTATTATTTTTTTTTTTTTTTTGAATCACACAAACACTTTTAACATTGTTCACAAGTGATAAACAAAACGGCAGGCTATACAGAATTGGTAGATTGTAGTCGACAAGAATTTCAGGTAGTCACAACTGCTAGGCACACACAAGCCAAACCACCCCATTATTGAAGAAATGTGCGTGTGAGAAAAGTATAAATAGCACATTGCGTCAGTCAATTTTTCATAAGCCAGATATTTTACTACTGGCGAACATAAAATGTCACATAGGCATAAGCTGCAAGTTGAGGGATATGCACTTCATCGACAATCGTATTTAGGACGTTTATCAGCCTTTTTTGAAACATGGAAATTGAGCCTTAACGTCAATAAATGTGAAGGAATTGTGTTTAAAGGTCTAAAAAAACATCTTTTCAACAGCGCCAGAGGGTTTGAGGCAGTACTCACAATCTCGGGACAACAAATTAGAGTTTCTGACCAAATTAAATACTTGGGAGTAATATTTCACTCCAAATTTGACTTCATAAAACATGTAGACTTTGTTTAAGCGAAGGCAAAGAAAATGTTTTGGGCTTATCAGCGGATAATCCGGCAATCTAGTGGCCTAAATCAAGAGGTTAAATTATTGATATAAAAACAAACCATTAGAACAATAATTTCCTAGGCATTTCCCGTATGGTTCGGCATTTCTTCTCATCAAATGGAAAGAATTAGACAATGGGAAAGAATGATATTAAGATCTTGTCTTGGTATGAGGCCTCAAATGGACGAAAACGGGATATGGATGCAGCCTCATAACAGTGAAGTGTACAGAAACACCCCCTTTGACAGAAAAGATGTATTTTTAGTGAAATCTTCTTCAAAAATTTCTAGAAAATGCACGTTTCTTGAATGATAATAATATAATAAGTAAGAGTTTAGTAGAATATAGTAGTATAGAAGAGCTTGTTGAATCAAACTACCATGTTCCTAGTAGCCTTGGCTCCGTAAAACTAGTATTACGGATATGTTTGTATACCTGATACAACTTATGTATGTATAATAGACATAGACTTAGAAAAATACTAATATGATAAGTAATATAAAGTTATTGAAATATTGTTGATGGATTTTGGAATCAATAAGTTTGAAGCAATTTGAATTTGAAACCGCCGCTAACAAAAATAATAGTACACATAAATTTGTAAGTTTATTTGTGTTAACATTGAAATATAAACCAAACAGTGAATAACCATATCTGACGCCGCCGTTGTTAAAGCCACCGCCTCCCCAGTTGCCGCTGTTGAGAAAAAGGCACCAAAAAAGCCGCTGCCAAAGCAAAGAAGCCATCAGCCTCCCTCCAACCCAGCAAATGGTTGATGCCGTCATCAAGACCCTGAAGAAACGTGGAGGTTCATCTTTGCCCGCCATCAAGATATACTTGGCCAGCACCTACAAAGTAGATGCCCAAAAATTGGCCCCCTTCATCAAGAAGTACTTGAAAGGTGCCGTTGCCAGTGGAAAATTGATCCAAACTAAAGGTAAGGGTGCTTCTGGTTCATTCAAATTGTCTGCTTCGGCCTCCAAGGAACCCAAAGCCAAGACTGCTGAAAAGAAGAAGAAGGCCCCAGCCGTTGGTGACAAAAAGAAGAAGGCTGCCGCCCCTTAAAAGGCCGCTGGTGAGAAAAAGGCAGCTGCCAAAAAACCCTCTGCCACCAAGAAGACCGCTTAAAAGAAGAAGGCCGACAAAACAAAGGCAAAGGCTGCCAAGAAAACCGGTACAGTTAAAGCTAAACCAGCAAAGACCGCCGCCAAATCATCTGCCACTAAAACATAGGCACCCAAGGCAAAAACTGCAGCTGCTAAGCCCAAAAAGGCCGCAGCAGCAAAGAAGCCAGCTGCTATGAAAGCCGCCGCCAAGAAGTAATTTTTCCCAGAAAGATTACTTTTTCCACAATATTTTCGATATTCGAAAACATACTATCTAACAGCCCTTTTCAGGGCTACAAATTAAATTAAAAAAGAGAAAAATATTTATGTTCAACATCTATCGTATATATTAATTACCTAAATACATAAAAAATACTATCGCTAATTACTGTTCTTATTAGGTAATTTTATTGAGCCAATATCATCGTGGACGCCACTGAATTATTTTTTAACCCAGGTCATAAAAGATAATAAAATATTTAAAATTTTTCCTAATTACCCACAGGTCATAATTCTCGAAAATCCCCATCATTTGGTCATTTTTATAATATCTACTTAATTTTGAAAAATTTGCCATTTTCATATTCTTTGTCAAATTTCACAAATTTCATCCAAAAATGACATTTTGGCAAAATATTAACATTTTCCATAAATACATATTTTCCTTTGAAAATTTTTGCCTCAGCCTTATATTTCGTTGCTTTGCCGTTGTGCTGAAATAAAATGCTCACACATACATGATGCCCATTCGATGTTGATCAACGACGGCAAGGCAAAACATCACTAACACACGCACACATATACGACGACGATGGCTGTTATAGCATATCGCACAAGCAAGCATAGAACCCAAGCAAGCAAATGCTAAACATGGGTACATATGCGAGATAACTAAATGCATGAAAAAATCTTTGTATAGAGAAAAATATATTTCCTATGGAATTTTATTTGTTTATTACTAAATATCAGCAAATAAGGGGTTTCAACAAAAATATGGTCTCTTGTGAATTTTTTTTTTTTTTTTTGGCCCTGAAAAGGGCCTCTTAAGGTAGTATTTCGACTAGTGATGATTGAGAGCTTGTTGTAGTGCGCCAAACGAGAGGCTTCGGCGGCAATACGTTCGAAGATATCGTTGATGAAACTGTTCATGACACTCATGGCCTTGGAGGAGATACCGGTGTCGGGATGGACTTGCTTCAACACTTTTTAAATGTAGACAGCGTAACTCTCCTTACACTTGGTACGTCTCTTCGACTTATCGCCCTTGGTAATGTTCTTTTGGGCTTTTGGTTTTAGGAGGCATTTTCACTTATTATTTATTTATTTATTTTATGTTTTGAATCACACAAACACTTTTAACACTGTTCACAAATGATTAACAAAACGGCAAGCTATACAGAATTTGTAGATTGTAGTCGACAAGAATTTCAGGTAGTCACAACTGCTAGTCACACACAAGCCAAACCACCCCATTATTGAAGAAATGTGTGTGTGAGAAAAGAATAAATAGCACATTGCGTCAGTCAATTTTTCATAAGCCAGATATTTTACTACTGGCAGAACATAAATTGTCACATGGGCATAAGCTGCAAGTTGAGGGATATGCACTTCATCGACAATGTAGGGTAGGCAAAAAGGGAGGTGGAACAGCCATTATGATAAGAAGTTCATATAAGTGTGAAGAAATTACAATAAATACAGGTAACATAGAATCTTGTGCAATTAAATAATACAAGACAGAAGGCCTGCCTATAATATTTATATCTATGTATCTTTCTCCTAAAACTTCTTTTAGACCCTCCAGTCTCGATGAAATTTCAAACTTGGGTGCAAACAATGATATTGTCATTGGATGTGACCTAAATGCGAAACACAGAGAATGGGGAATAAGAATAAACAATGAAAATGGTTGTGAACTTAGGGATTGTCTATTATGTTGCCCCACATCAGTCCCACAAGGCTCAATAGAGTTGAAGACTCTTACATAGATTTCTTCATCATAACACCTGGTGTTGTAAGAACAGAACATGGTCTATTAGCAACGAAGGATTTTGAATCGGATCATAAGGCCGTCGAAATAATAATTAGTATTAATATTATTCAAGCAAAAGAGATCAAGACCTGCTATGATTATGATCAAATTAATATAGAAAGGTATAAGGGAAGATTAGAAGCAAGATTATTAGAACTTGAGTTGCCAATATATAGAAATGCAACAATATCAGAAATAGACATTTCCATAGAAAGACTAAATAACGTTTTTTAAAGAAACAATAGAAGAATGTGTCCCAATAAAAGTATGTAAGAATTATACCTTAGGAAAATTACCAAATAACATCATAAATCTAATGAAAAAAAGAAAAAGAAAATTTTAAAGAGGACACCATACCCGGAGAGATATAATCTAATTTGAGCTAATATTAGAAATCTCGGCACAATATTAAAAGAACTAATAACAAATTTCGAAAATAACAGGTACATATCGCATATAGAAAAAATAAAAGTAAACCCTACCACTTTTTCTAAAGTGAAAACTGCTGCAGGCCTATCTCTAAAGGGACCAATAAGTAGTCTATTCAACGATAGAGGTGATCCTATAAACAATAATGAGGAAAAAGCCAATTTATTGACTAACCATCTCCAAAACATACAACAAATAAGGGAGGGTGAAACAAACTCCACCTTCCACAATCTTGTAGTTGAAGCTGTGGAGGGAATTGAGGAACATAATCCCCTGCTAAGTTTTGGAGACGAAATTGCAGCTGATGGCTCAATTATAGGGGATGAAGCTAAATGGAATGAGGGTGGATTTGTTAATCCTGCAGCAGTCTTAAATGCCATTAAAAAAGATCGTCTAAAAAATCTAGTGGAATAGATGGAATTCCGGATATAGCCATAAAGAAAGCCGGAAGTGCAATATGCACTTTCCTGGCAATTCTATTTAACCAAGGCTTTTAACCTTGGTTACTTTCCAAGAGAATGGAAAAAGGCCTTGGTAATACCAATTAAAACAAGTAAAATAATTACCCTCCACCATTCGGTACAAATTTAACAATTTTCAAAAAAAAATCCCTTAAAAATCTGTTAAAATCTTGAAAATACCTAATGTAGGCGTATATTAGAGTCTATACGACGATGTGGACCTGCATAGGCAACTTTTGTCACCAGCTATTACAATATTGAAATGCGAAACTTGAAAAAAAATCAGTTTATAATGCACAGGCAATTTTCTGTCATAGGCTGTAATATCGAACTTCACGAACTTTAAATGCGATATTTGAAACAATTCCGGTAAATATTGTCGCTAAAATCATGAACATACCGAAGTGCGGGGGGTACCGATATATGGGGGCTATACGAAGGCGTGGACCTGCACAGACAACTTTCTGTGATAGGCTGTAGCATCCATTATGAACTTCAAATGCAAAATGTGAAACAATTCCGGTAAAGAATGCCGCTAAAATCATCAAAATACCGAATATTGGGAGGTACCAATATGTGGGGGCTATACGAAGACGTGGACCTACATGGCCCAGTTTCTGTCTTAAGCCGTAGCATCTATTATGAACTTTAAATATTAATTTTGAAACAATTCCAGTAAAAAATGTCGCTAGAATCATCAAAATACCGAATATCGGGAGGTACCGTTATATGGGGGCTATACGCAGACGTGGACCTACATGGCCCATTTTCAATGCCAAAAGTCCTGCAGACATAGTACACATTTGAGTAAAATTTTATCAACCTACATCATTTCGTTCAGAAGCTAGAGTGATTTCCGCAGACGGATAGACGGACAGACATTGATAAATCGACATAGAATTTTATGCTGATCAAGAATTTATATACTTTGTGGGGTCTAAAATGTATATTTCGAGGTGTTACAAACGGAATGACAAACTTAATATACCTTCCATACTATGGTGGACGGTATAAAAACCGAATACAAATGGCAAATATTGTGAGGACTACAGACCCATTTCTCTCCTGTCCCCATTTAGTAAACTTTTTGAATATTTTATTCTTGAAAGAATTAAAAACACCATTGAAGAGCACAAAATATTAAGAGATTGTCAATTTGGCTTTAGAATACAGCAATGTACTTCTCATGATCTTGTAGCATTCACTAATTATGTTACAGATGGGTACAGGAGAAAAATGGGTACCATGGCAGTGGAACTAGACTTTAAAAAAGTCTTTGATAAAGTGTGGCAAAAGGGTATACTCTATAAATTGCAATCCTTTGGTTTTGAAAGGCAAACCTGTAGGATGGTAGCAGTCTTCCTAAAGGATAGGCATTTCAGGATTAAAGTTGGTGAGGATATGTCTGAACAACGCCCGGTTTTTTCAGGTGTCCCACAGGGATCACTTTTGGGGCCGGTGTTGTATAATATATTCTTCAGCGATATTCCTGGGCAATTAGAAGGGGGTCTGTTATTAACATATGCAGATGACGTCATTATAGCAATGAGCGGACGTTATGCACATACCGTTGAGAGGAAAATAAATAAGTATCTCGAAAAGCTATGTGAATATTTTAAAAAATGGGAACTAAAATTGAATGTCACAAAATGCCTTGCTACAATATTGAGTGGTAAAACTGGAGAAAGCTACCCCAGCTTTAGAATACACATACCCAATGTTAAAATTGATGGTCAAATTATAGGACATTCAGATAAAATTAAGTATTAAAGGGTTGTATTTAAAAAAAATTTTGACTTTTGCAGGCATGTAGACCATGTTCTTGTTAAAGCAAAAAAAAAAAATACTTCATGTATCAAAAGATATTTAGGATGAGAGGAGGTCTTACTACAGACATTAAACTATTACTGCACAGACAGGCCCACAATGTGGTATGCCTTTCCGTCTTGGGCTGACGTCTCCGCAGCACAAATGGAAAGGTTACGTAGATTTGAAAGAAAGGCTATAAGTGCAGCTGTTGGACTAAGAGCCGACATAAATAGCCAGGGTGAAATTAGAAGGCCATCGAATAGGAACATTTACAATGCCATAAACTTTGGCAGAATAGATGTTTTTATGATGGAGATGGCACTTATATTTCTTGAGAAATGTAGAGAAGGTGAAAGCTTTATAGTGCAAAACTTCATTAACAACGAAGAAGACTTAGAGGTACTTCGTACTAGAAAGCAT